CGTGTCGCAAATACTCTTGCATCATTGCGAATGAACTGTCGCCGATTCGGATCCAGCGCGCAGGTTGGGGACGTGCATGACCGCGCTCGTCTCCGCTATATGACGGGCCAGCGCGGAAACCACCCATAGCATCGCATCTGTGCGCAAGACGCGCAAGTGTCTTCCAGCCAGAATGAGGGGCCCCTTCTGGCCGAAAACGCACGACTTGATGATGTTACATAGAGGGGAGCAGCCAAGCCTCCTGTGGGGGCTGCCAGAGTTTCAACACATTAACCCATCCGGTTGCACACTTCGGCTGCTCAGGCAAGACTCTTGCGCTCCGACAAACGAGATGTCCTCGTCGTGCAGCTGCATCCTCGGGTGCTGTACCTTAGCTCTCTGCACCAAGTGCCGATGGGCACTTGGTCCAGCGACGGTGCGATGGCGCGCGGGGTACTGCTCCGCAGAGCAGGCCGCCACGTTGTTGACGGTGGCAAGCTTGAACACAAGCGTGGGTGAGGCCCTCGAAAGCGTCTCGCGCGGTAGGCCACGTAGCTCCTCTCCACCGACGGCTTGCCTCGCACAGTCCACAATCCACCCGTGGTCGCACCGCGGTGGGTGATTAGAAGCATCTGTCAGTGAGCCGCGTGAACTACCGCTCCATATATGTAGCGTAGCTGAGCGCACTAACTGCGTGATCGGGAAAAGGCTGCCGTGGATCCCCATGCTGATTGAAATGCCGTGAGACCGAGTCCGCTGCCCCATTCCAACGGTAGTCACTATGTCCCGGTTCCTGAATTGACTAGTAGTGTGCGAACTCGTTGGATGTCACTCAGAATGCTAGCCGCCAGGCGGTCCATACTCTCCCCGTGCCCTTGCCAATTTCAACCTTGCCGATGATGCGTAATTTGCGTTGCCGCGTTATTTGCGCGGCGTGATCGCTGCCCAGAAATTCCCTATGAACTACAATCTGTGCTATCCGTGCTGTTCATGTCTGAAGGAAGCTCGGGGACCTTCTGACCCGGGTCAATCCAGACCCGGGTCAGCAGGAAACCAAAAACTGCAATGCAGGAAAAAAAAGCTGCAACGCAGATCCTCGCAAACCCGGGTCAGCCAATACGCGCGGCCGCCTCGCGGCCACGAGCGGCTCCCTGACCCGGGTCAGCCAGAGGGGGCTTTCGCAGGTTCCTGCAGGATCTGGCGCCTTGGCTGACCCCCGTTTGCACTGACCCCCGTCTCGAGGCTCCCGAGAAGCGCCTGGGCCTGCTGCGCCGGCGCCGCCGCGTGGCCCGCGCGTGCGATGCCGTCGAGGTCTCCGACGGCATGGGCCAGCGCGGGCGCCGCGGTCTCCTTGCTGGATGGGGGAATCGGAGTAGATGCGGCGAATAACTTCGCCGTCGATTCCGCGACTTTGGCGTGGAAGGTGCGCCCGAATGGCCAGGTCCGCTCGAAGTTTGTTAGTGCTGAGCCGTGGTGGGGGATCCCATTGCCCCGTTGGCCGCTCGCGCGCAGCTCGGGAAGCGTCGCGATGCGGTTAGCTGGTTCCGCGCCCTTGGGGGCGCAGCATTGGCTGCGCGAGGGGCGGCGTGGGCCTCCGAGACACCCACTCCACGTGCAAAAAGACAGCGCAGGCGCAGGCGATGATGGGGAGATTCCACGCTCTGCGACTGCAAGAGGTCAACCAGATCAAGCATGAATGGGGCCGCGATCCGAACGAGGCCCCGATAATGCCGGCACCTGATCGCGGCGCGGGGGAGGTCGCCCCCCGACATGCTGCCCCGAGGCCTTGCGGTGCAGGCCATCTGCCAAAACGAGTTCCAAGGCGTCGCGTTTCCTCTTGAAAGAACGCGGTCCCGCGCCGAGCTTCCACTAGGCCCCGGCGCGGTGCGCGCGCGGGAGGCCGCCCGTCGACCTCGGGTGCGCGCGCGAGGGCCCCCGGGACCTCCCCGTGACGAGCGGCGCGCGGATGGTGGTGCCCTGGATAGCAGGGCGAAGCCGGCGTCGCGGCGGATGCCCCATTCTCGTCCACGAAGGCGCGCAGCGCAGCGGCGTGAGCAGAACGCGCGCGACGCTGCTGATGCTGAGGAGCACGGGGCGCGCCCTAACGCGGACTGCCTGGCTCGCGCCAGAGTCCTCGGGCGCCTCGACGCGGCCTGTCAGCCCGCCCATCCTCCGACCGACTTCTGTCCGAGGACCGCCCCCCTCCTCGGCGTCGGCGTCGCCATTCGCGGCGTCGCGGACGGGCGGCGGGGCCCGGGGTGCCCGTCGAAGATGGCGACCACCAGCGCGACGACAGTGGCCCGCAGATGGCGCTGGCGGGGGGGGGCCTGCAGAACTGCCCCTGCTTCTTCGTTGACCAACTTTTGCTCGTGCTCAGTTCGTTCATTATCTGCCTGGCGACGTTGCGCTGCCTCCGCGTCCACCTGCAGCATCTCTCGCGCCATCCCAGTGCCGACGTCTGAATCGCCGACCACCTTGTGGAACCCCTTCGTGATTGATAGATGCTGTTCATGTGCTGTTTGTGCCTCGGCGAGCTCCAACCTCGCTCGGTCAAACTTAGCCTTCTTGAGATGCTCGCAGTACTCAACCGAATCGAAGGTCGCTGTCTCCTCCGCCCCCTCAGTCCTCGACGACGCAGGGGCGGGCGCGCCGGCGGCGGCAGGAACGGCTCGTGGCGTCTGGGGCGGCACCTCCATCGGAGACACCACTGTGGATAACTTCTGTTGACGCGCGCCCCCTCGCGTGCCAACTGGGTGCGGAGAGACAGGGGGCGTGGGCATCATGGTGGGGGGACGTCTGACTCCGCGGTATCACCTGCTTGCCCTGTGCGAGCTGGACAGACTGGAGCTTATCAGACTGTGCTTCCCTGCCCAACTGCTGCGCTTGAATTTGGCCGGCTTGCTGCCGCTGCTGGTCCAGAACCAATTGCGAAAAACTCGTGGGCTGCTGAGTGGCTGGCCTGGGCGACTGGCAAGGCGCCTGCGCCGCGTGTGGAAACGGAGGCGCTCGTCGTAGAGCGCCACGAAGGAATGCCTCGGGACCGTTGGTGGGGGGCGCCTCCCCCCCTGCAGAACCCGGAAAATCTTTGAACTGTTGTGTGGCTTGGTGCAACTCCTTCGCGATGTCCTCTCCTTGATTTACAAGGTCTGCAAGCTGATGCTCGACCTCAGCCACATGCTCCTTCATGACGGTCACTATCTTATGACGCGCCTGCTCCTGATCTTCGGCCTGCGATCCCGGACACCTCAATGGGCGGATACTTGCCAGCGAGCCTCATGGTTTGCGCATTTCTGCCAACTGGCAGATACGCTTCCACGTTTTCTCTTGTGAACTATGCACGAGCCGATATCGTTGACGACCTCTCGAAGAAAAAAGAGGCACCGTCAGTGCGCGTCCTACAGTGGGACCTGTCACGTCCATTGCGGTTGCTTTGTGCTGAAGAGGGTCGTGGTGACCGCACTTGACATACATTATGGGTCGATGGTTCGCGATCTGCTTCCAGCTGCTTCTTCCATGCGCTGCCGCACGACTTGCAATACCAGCAAGTCTCACCGCTATTCGTTGCAAAAAACAATACGACGGCGTCATACAATTGTGATGTCCCTTCAACCTGCGTGCTGCAACGCAGATAAGCAAGATCGTGCTACAGTCGGTTCGGAATCGCCGAGCACGTCGATGCCAAGCGGGCTCGGCCTGGCGGGCGGGGCGATACGGTACCTTCGCCGCCCGCGCAGCCGCCTATGGCACGGTTGCGCGGGGTCACCCTGCGGGGCGGCGCGCGAGCGGTGGGGGAGGGGGGAGGGCGCCACGCCCTTGAACCAAAATGGCTACGGCCTCCTCCCCCTCGTCTTCCTGACCTCCCCTCCCCCTCCCCCTCTTCCTCCTCCTCCTGCTCCTCCTCCTCCTCCTCTTCCTCTTCCTCTTCCTCCTCCTCCTGTTCCTCCTGTTCCTCCTGGTACTCCTGGTCCTCCTGCTCCTCCTTCCCCTCCCCCTCCTCTTCCTCCTCCTCCAACCTCCTCCTCCTGCTCCTCCTCCTCCTCCTCCTCCTCGTCCTCGTCCTCCTCGTCCTCCTCGTCCTCCTCGTCCTCCTCGTCGTCCTCCTCCTCCTCCTCCTCTTCCTCCCAATGCTGCTCGTACTCCTCGTGCTCCTCCCCGTTCTTCTCCCCCCCTCTTCCCCTCCCCCATCCCCTTCCCCTCCTCCTCCTGCTCCGCCTCCTCCTCCTCTTCCTCCTCTCCTCATCTTCTTCTCACATTCGTCTTTCTTCTTCTTCCCTTCTCCTCCTCCTCCTCCTCCTCCCTCTTCCGCCTCTTCTCCGCCTCCTCCTCCTCCTCCTCCTCCTCCGCTCCTCCTCCTCCTCCTCCCCCTCCGCCTCCGCCCGCTCATCCCCTTCCCCTCCGCCTCCTCTTTCCTCCTCCTCCCCCTCCTCCTCCTCCAACTCCAACTCTCTCCTCCTCCTCCTCCTCCTCCTCCTCCTCCTCCTCTTCCTCCCCTCCTCCTCCGTCTCCTCCTCTCCTCCTCCTCTCCTCCTCCTCCTCCTCCCTCCTCCTCGTCCTCGTCTCGTCCTCCTTCTCCTGCTCCTCCTCCTCCTCCTTCTCTCCTTGTTCCCTGCTCCCCGCCTCCCTCCTCCCACCTCCCCCACCCTGCTCCTCCTCCTCCCTCTTCCCTCCTTCCCTTCCTCTCCTCCTCCCGCCTCCCTTCTCCCTCCTCCCTCCTCCCTCCCTCCTCCTCCCCCTCCTCGTCCTCCCTTTTCCTCCTCCTCCCCCCCCTCCTCCTCCTCCTCCTCCTCCTCCTCCTCCTCGTCCTCCTCCTCTCCTCCCCTCCTCCTCCCCTCCTCGTCCTCTCCTTTTCCTCCTCCTCCCCCTCCCCCTCTCCTCCTCCTCTCCTCCTCCTCCTCCTCCTCGTCGTCCTCCTCCTCCTCCTCCTACTCCTCCTCCTCCTTCCTCCTCCTCCTCCCTCTCCTCCTCCTCCCTCCTCCCTCCCTTCCTCGTTCCTCCTCCTCCTCCCCCTTCCTCCTGTTAACCTTGCGGCCTGGTCGTGGGCCAGCCGCGTCGCGCCCCAGCCTCGCCTTCCAGCCCCTGGCGGAGTAGCGCCTGCGGGCGTCCAGGGCGGCGCGGAACGGTTGCGGCGAAAGGCATCCTTCCCACCTTTCTCCCTGCTGCGTCCCGCCATCCCTCCTCCTCCTCGTCCTCGTCCTCCTCCGTCGTCCGTCCTCCGTCCTCCGTCCTCCGTCCTCCTCCTCCTCCTCCTCCTCCTCCTTCTCCTCCTCCTTCTCCTCCTCCTCCTCCTCCTCCTCCTCCTGCCTCCTGCCTCCTGCCTCCTGCCTCTTCCCTCTCCCTCTTCCCTCTTCCCTCTTCCATCCTCCGTCCTCCTTCCTCCCTCCTCTCTCTTCCCTCCTCTTCCTCTTCCTCTTCCTCCTCCTCCTCTTCCTCCTTCTCCTCCTCCTCCTACTCTTTTTCTTACTCTCCTGCTCTTCTTCCTCCTCCTCCTCCTCCTCCTCTCCCTCCTCTTCTTCTTCTTCTTCCTCCTCCTCCTCCTCCTCCTCCTCCTCAGGGAGAAGAAATGACGAATCGAAACTTGTTTTTCCACGAGCACCGGTCTCTCCAGAACTACTGGAAAGCAGCAGGGCAATCGCTGTGTTGGCCTGTTGGGCCTCGGGCGCTGTCAGCGCCACCGGAGCCACAAACATGGCCTGGTGCATCAACCGTGAAGATAGATATGTACAGCTGTCCACCAGCCCAACCAACCAACCAGAGTAAGACAAATGCTCACACTATGAAACGAATGTCAAAACTAAGAATGAAAACGATGCTCATTGCACTACCCAAGCAAGCCGTATTTCGCCCCCCCTAGATATCGGCAGACCACGTCACGAGATATGTCGAGGGACATAAAGTTCTTGAGAAGACCCGCCACACCCAACTTTGCCCACACCCGATCAACGGGGCACCTCGCCCATAGTCTGCTTCCCTATGGGATCTGTGGGTCCACCGCGTGGTGCTCGCGGGAGGGTGGCGGGGCCCAAGCCTTGCAACATTGGATCACATATTTCGGATAACTGTACCGTTCGAGGCGGGATGCGAGCGCAAAGCGCGCTTCCAGGCTGAGAGACCAGCTGGACGAATGTCTGTGCAAACCAGCTAACTCAGCGAAGGGCCGAGCCCAGTGCACACTCCTCGGATGCTCCGATGTGGTTGCCACTTGTACGCCTAGGGAGGTCTTCTTCCAGATGGTCTTGGAATCAAACCTCCCGCATCTGGCAAACCTCGGGCCCTTGAAACTGTGAATGTCTAGCATGTCGATGCCTCTAGTTGACACGCCTTCTACTTTGCATGCGAAACACGTTTGGAACCAATGCGGACCCGCTCCAAGCAAACCAACCAAGCCGCTCCTCCTCCTCCATTTTTTCCTCCTCCTTCTCCTCTTCTTCCTCCTCCTCCTCCTTCTCCTCCTCCTCCTCCTCCTCCTCCTCCTCCCCCTCCTCCCTGCTCCCTGCTCCATGCTCCCTCCTCCCACCTCCCTCCTTCCTCCTCCCTCCTCCCTCCTCCTCCCCCTTCCCTCCTCCTCCTCCTCCTCCTCCTCCTCCTCCTCCTCCTCCTCCCTCCTCCCTCCTGCCGCCTCCCTCCTCCCACCTCCATCATCCCTTCTGTCGCCTCCCTCCTCCCTCCTCCCACCTCCCTCCTCCTCCTCCTCGTTCCTCCTCCCTCCCACTCCCCCCTCAGGGGGAGTGCGGCAGCCGTGTGGTAGTGCGGCAGAGGACCCAAAGACCCAACCATATGCAATTGTGAATCTCTATTGGGCCAGGAAGCGTGTGAAGGGTGTGCCGAAATGGGTGCGGCGGGCGTATGCGAACGCAGCCGCTGGGGCCTTCGGTGGAGCTCCCTATGGGGCCACGAAGCGTGTGAGGGGTGTGCCGACATTGGTGCGGCGGGCGCATGCGAACGCAACCACCGGGGCCTTCGGTGAAGCTCCCTGTGGGGCCACGAAAAGTGTGAGGGGTGTGCCGAAAAAGGGTGCGGCGGGCGCGTGCGAACGCTGGCCTTCGGGCCTTCGGTGGGGCTCCCTATGGAACCACGAAGCGTGTGAGGGGTGCTCCGAAACAAAAACATGCGGAGGGCAGACGCAAGGAGGGGGGTGGGATGGAGGAGAGGGAGGAGGGGAGGAGGAGAGGTGGGACGCGGGGCGCCGTCTCTTCGAAACAAGGACCCAACGCCGCAGGATAGTTGGGAAAACGAAAGCGTAGGCGCCGAGGCAGGCTGTGGGCAAAGGGCAAGTGGAGGTGCTGAGGCGGGCAGTGAACACATGCAGAATTGTGTGAAGGGGGACTTGCGGTGGGGGTGGCGGTGGGCGCTACGAGGCTGAACATGAACGCGGAGACTTTTCCGCGGGGCCCACTGTGGGGTGCCGCTCGAGGCTGCAGAAGGCGCCTCTGCCTAGAGGAAGCCGTCCCAGAAGCCGACGGCGGGACAGTTCGCCTGCAAGCAGGCGTGGGGTTCCCAACACGCCGGCCTCGTGGCCGCCTTGGGGGTTTCCGCCGAGCGTGAGGGAAGTTTGGGTCCTCCCCCACTGGTGGAACGGTGCAAGCCGGCCACGCTCGCCAAGGTAGATGGCAGAACGGCCTCACCCCCTGCACAGATGAACCGCTTGAAGCCGCCACCGTCCCATGGCTGGTACCCAGATCATGGGAGTGGTGGCTGCTTGGGGGGGTTCCGCCGTGCGTGGGGGTGGTTTCTGCCATCAGTGGCGGCGGCGCGGGTGTGTGGCTTAATGGCCGCTCATGGCCCTGGTGGAAGCGAACGTGGGGGTGGAGGTGCCATGATGGCCGATGCCATAGTATGTTGCCCTCTCCTCCTCCACCTTCACCTCCTCCTCCTCCCGCGCGCACGCCGCCTCGGCCAGTCCGATCCCTGCACTCCAGGAGGACTATGTACCTCCTCCTCCTCCTCCGCCTCCTCCTCCTCCTCCACCTCCTCCTCCTTTTTCTCCTGGGCACAGCCTGGGGCGCCACAGAGTCTATGGTGCCTCAGCAGGACCTCGAACGTGGCTAGGGGCGCACCTTGCAACCGCCATTAGCCGCGCCCATCGGACATTAAGCAAAGGATGAGGGCTCTGGGAGCAGGCGATATCCTGCATACCTCAGAACCCTCTTGGCCAAACAGTACTCGCCCCGTCTCAATCGTTCGAGGATAAGGCGACGATCCTTCGAGAGATGACGGGGCAGGCACTCACTCGCAAGAGACACCACGCGCTGGGTGGTGCATGCAGCGCAGTGAGTGCAACAAAAAATCTGGGTTTCGCCCACAAAAAACGAGGCCACCCGATGATGCTTGGACCCAGCGGCCTTCAGAGAAGCCTGAGCCTGCTGGATCCTTTGCTCTAAGGTGGGAGGCTCTGGCTTGACAATGATTAGGGAGGGGGCTGAACGTGCAGAGCGCTGACGGTGCAGACAGTCGACAGCAGCAATGGCCTCACCCGCCCTGGCGGCCCATTTCCCCGTAAGACTGACCATCTTCTTCTGCATCATAGTAAGCTTCTGAAACTGGGGATCGGGCCGCAGGACACGAGCACGACTGTTCGCAGCACCGTCGGCGGCATCGTTTCCAAGTTTGTCCCGAAGCTTATACCTCCCCTCCGCTATCATAGTGTCTGTCGCATGGGCTTTCACTTTCTTGACCTCAGGGGGGGTACCCCCCCAATCGTCGACTTTGTGCCAAACTAGCTTCCAAAGACAAGCCCAAGCCGCCGACGCCGACGTGGTGTCAGCTGGTCCGCGGATATTGTAACCTTTCCAAACAAAATCGGAATCCGTGTGCACGACAACAGGTGGCACAGCGAACCTGAGCACTGCGAGCAGGGCATAAAGTTCAGCACCGTCTATGTCCTGCAGCGGGTAGGGCAGGAGACCAGTGATGGTGCAGACAGCCGTGTCACTGTCGGCGGCCAGCGCGACGACTGCCCATGCAGCAATCCCGCGATGTGGATAATCAGTAAACAATGACCCATCAAGATACAGATCCCCTGTGAGCTGTTGCGCATCCCCGTGCCATTCCACACAAGGCTCCAACGGCGCCAGCAGCACTGCTTGAGGGGCCTTGGGGAGCGGGACAAGCACACGCTCCAGCATCAGGCGCACCAGGTCATTCTGGTCCGCATGCGGGAGCATGAGTCTGATTGCATCGGGGAGTGGCTCTCCTATTGCCTCGAGCATGCTCTTACACACGGCGTGCCGGTGCACGAGGGAACCAGGGGCCTCTTGGCATGCAAGGCAACTCGGGGAGTCAATCCAACCTTGTTGAAATTGCCGATCTTGGGGCCACTGAGCTCCAATGATAGCACTCCTGAGGTAACCGCGCTGCTGCCAGGTGAGGTTCCCCTTGGCGCTCAGGAGGTGCTTCAGAGGCCCATCCCAGAAACCAGTACGGAACTCAGGCATCTGAAGGTGCTCCGAAATCTGCAGGTTGACCCAGTGGCGCACCGCATGCGCACAACAGTGAAGGAGGACCCTGGGGCAAATGTCCATGAGTTTCAGCTCCAGACCGTCAGGCAGCTTCCAGACCAGGGGCTCGACGACGACGATCCCGACTCTGGTGAGCGTAGCATAAAGGGCTCCCAAGGGGCCCCGAACCTGCGGCCACATTTGGTCCTTCCCAGACAACGCCAATCTAGCAGCCTCAAGGCCATGCTCTAAGACATGACATGGCACACGCGACGCCCAAAGAACAGAGCTGAATGCTTTGATAGGCTCCAGCGTAGCCCTCCAGATCGGGTCGTAGTTGGCCTGCGTCGCGAGCGCGAGAGCGAGAGTGCGGCTCTTGCCGCTGGTCTTGGCGTCGAGCGCCGCAGCGGCCTGGGAACGCAACACGTCCCGCTCCTTTGAGGCAGTACCCTGAACAGAGGTCCCAAAAGCAACCGAAGTCTCCAACGCCGCCCTAGCCATGATGGCCATGGTTTTCCGCCTGGCAATACCTCCCTGGAGATGTTTCATTCTCTTGAGCTTGGGTTTGGCGACCTTAATTCTGCCCGTCCTGGTGGTCCTCCTGAGAAACCGTCCTGAACTGTAGTCAACCCCCAAGTTGCGCTCATGGTTCACGCCCTGGGCCCTAAGCGATACTAGCCTCCTGGACAGCTGGTCACGTAAATCAGAGTCACTAGCAAGAACTCGCGTCTTGTCGAGAGCGAGCCGTAGATCCACACGCTGAAGCTCGCGCTGAAGCTTCACTCCAGCACCAGCTACATCAGCAACGACACGGCCGTGTTCCCCCGATCTCTGCAAAGCAAAATCGTCGACAACCACGGAAAGACAGATGGCCCGAAACTCCTTCTGAACAACATCCAGGGGGCCCAGCAAAACAAGTTGCAGTAAAACCGTAGCAAAACCACACCCAGGGATAATCGTAGTTTCCGCCGTGATGTGATTACTAACAGTCCCTTGGAGATCAAGCAGGCGGGGCGACCGATAGACTTGCACAAGCAAACGCAGTTGCCACAACGGAAATCCAGTGCGAGAGGCCGCCTGGACAAGATGATGATGCTTGACCAGTTCAAACGCTTTCTTTAAATCGAGCAGCAGCGTAGCAGACGACAGGCCCTTGGACTGATAATACTCCGCCCACACAGCCTGAATGTACACACACATGTCAGCGCTTTTCCCTTTGGTGCCCCACCAGAAACTCCGATAGTTCTTGACTTGCCACTGCCTGATCAAAGGCCTTCTCAACCTGGACTGCACCCGACAGAGAACGTGTAAAAGCCCCAGGGGTCGGACTCCTCCCAGTCTTTTGAGAATAAAAACGATCTTGTTCGTGAGGGGGGGCCAGTCCGCCTGCTCCTCAATCTTCCCGATGAGGCCGCACAAAAGCTCGAGCGCAATGTCGGGCAAGTGCAGAAAACTCCTAGGCGGGGCCTGGTCGTATCCACAACCAGTGCCTAGCGGGAAAGACATCAACACTTTCTTGAGCTCTGGGACCGTGGGGGGAGACGGGCGCTCTCCGAGATCCTCAGGCCAGTGCACGGGGGGCTGAGCGACCCCCACCTGCCACCACTTGCTCCACTCCCTTTCAAGTTCGTCCATTTCCCCCATGCTGGTGTTGGGTCGGAGGGTGAAGGAGTCGAGGGTGGACGGCTGCCAAGGGTCTGGCAGCTGCACATACTTGAAGAGCGCCGCAGCCCCACCTACCGAGTGCGTTTTTACCCATCGGTCCCAGTTGACTATCTTCAGCTGGGTCGCCTGCTTGTGCAGGCGCTCGGCAGTGTCGCTGGCGACGGTGGCGAAATAGTCCATAACTACGTAGTCGAAGACGCGAAACCGATCCAGGGCCTCCAGGAAACAAACCGCGAGCATCGAATCTGGAACATCAGGCGAACTCTGAAGATGTCGGATCCTGCAAAGTACCTGCTTAGTCTGGGCAGAGCTGATGGGCCCCGTGAGGGTCTTAAGGACCTGTGCCAAGGCTCTCCACCACACAGCTTGAGGGCTCAGACGCGGAAAGGGAACTGGAGCAGGCCGGCTCGGTCGACACCACCCAGTACGAACATCACCACCACGCCCAAGGTAAGGTTTCGAAAGTTCCGAAGGAATCTGAAACACCTCTAACCATTCAAGCTCAGCAGCCGAAACAAAAACTTGCCAAGACTTAGATATGCTGGCATTGCTCATCATCTCCGACGCCACCTCCCACCTGGCTACGTTGGGCTCTCCACGGCAACCAATGGGCAACTCCCTGGGGAACCTGCGGGGAACCATAGCCATGCGCACCGAGGGTGCAGTGTCCAAGGTGGGTAGCTTCAACTTTACTGGAATATGCGGGGTGATAGCCACTTCTGCCAGCAGTGAAACCGAGGCGTTCGCCGCAAACGCCTGGGAGACAACGAAAAAATCGATGGTCCTGTGTGCTGGCGCACATGTTCCAGCATCCGTGTATATGGCAGCGCCGTCGATTGCATCAACCCAGCCTGAATGCTGGAGCACGTCAGGCTCGAGATTAAAGTCCCCGAAGATGAGGAAAGGCATGTTGGCCATTTTCAGCAGCGCGCCTAGCCTGCAGAGAAGATCCCAGTTGGCAGGCGCAAGTCCGACAGAATGATGCAGATAGAGCGTGCACGCTAGGAAACCCCCTGGTACGAGACCTCCCACATGCATCACCATCATCCTCCCCGCCTGCACGTCGATCGGAAAGCTCTCAATCGGCGCCAGGCCGATATGCTTTGGCACAGCGAGCATCGTGCCAGCAGAAATGCCGCCTCCAGCCGTCTGACGGGCTGGCGATAGTTTGGCTCTCCACCCTTGCCGCCTGAGTTTATGCTCACACGCTTCAACCTCCAACACCCGCGTTTCCTGTACACCGACTAGCTGAGCCTGGAGCACAGAGGGGGAGGAGAGGAAAATGTCAAGCCCAGAGCGATCAGTGACATTGGCAGAGATAATATTCCAAAACTTCGGGGCCTTAGGCCCCATGGCGCATCTAGCCGCACGGCTAAAGGCGCTTCCGTTTGAAATCAGCACCGGCCTCATCGAGCGCAGCCTCCAGCTGCGATCGAGTGATGCCGCTCTCACCTGCAGAGCTGACGAGCTTGTCCATCCAGTCGCCCTGCTTGAGGTTGCCGATGGCCGCATCCATGTCGAGGTCGTGATCGCCTGCAGCATCGCTGGGCTCAGCAGCAGCACCACCAGCATCACGTTCATGATCGCGATCTGCCGCCTCAGCACGGGCTTTTGCAGCAGCCGCTTCCTCCTCGTCCTTCTTAGCCTTCTGGCGGGCCTCCGCGACCTGCTTGATCGAGTCGACCACGCCCGCCTCGACCCCCAGCTCCCGCAGCTGCTCCACAAGGTACGCAGCATGGTCAGCAGGCTGAGGCCTGGAGGCACGCCCGAGCTCGGAGAAGGCGCTGGCGGCGGCGCGGGCCGCCTCGAGCTCCTTGGCCTCGAGCTCCATGTACTTCGCCTTGAGCTCCGCAGTCTTCTGCAGCTGCTTGGCCAGCACTTCCTGAGACTTCTCCCAGGCGTTCTTGGCCTTGGCGACCTGATCCTTGAGCGTGTCGTGCTGCTGCTTGGCCTGGCGACTGAGGGCCAGCGGGTCGCCTGTCTGCACAGCTCGCAGCCCCAGCAAGTGCGCCTTCTGACCAGGCGAGAGCCAGATGCTGCAGGCCTCAAAGTGCTCGGCAGACATGGCAAGCATGGCGTCCCTGCGCTCTGGGGTGAGCTTGCCGCCAACTGCGCCAGGCCCTTGTCCAGCACCAGGTGAGCCTCCTTGAGGCTGCAGCCGAGGAGGACGAACCCAAGCGCCAGCAGGAGGGCGCGGCACCGACGGTGCGGGGACCGCACCTTTGGGCTTGCCACACGCCCAGCACGTTGTACGCCAAGGGAAGTTGTTGTCGAAACCGCATTTCTTGTTACAGCACGTCCAGGTCGCGCTGAACGCCTGCTGCCTGCCGCCGCCATTGCGCCCCATGGGAACTGACGGCCGCAGAACTTACCGTAGCCAGAATGTTGGCTGTGAGTGAAAGAAGAAAGAGAGATCGCAGGATCACTGGCGGGGGCGCGCCTCCCCCACGCCAAAAAGGCTTCGGTCCCTGAGCGAAACGCTACGGACTTGAGCCAAAATGGCTTGAGCCAAAATGGCTACGGATCTCCTCCTTTTTCTCCTCCTCTCCCTCCTCCTCCCCCACCCAAATCGCCTCCTCCACATCCCCCCTCCTCGTCGTCCTCCTCCCCTCCTCTCTCGCTCTCCCCCAGGCGGCCCCCCCCCGCGCATCGGGGCGGCTGCGGCCTCGTCACCTCTTCGTGAGGAGAGGCTGCAACACCTGCACCGCCCTCTTGGCCTCCGGGTGGCGGCACTTGTCCGGGTGGCACAACCGCATCAAGGCCTTTCCGCGTGCAGGGGGGAAGACGATACAGGTCGAGTATGTAGCGAGCGATCACGATGATCAACGACAAGGGCCTTCTCGCGTCCAGGGAGGAAGACGATACAGTCGGGGCGTTGACCTAAGGAACCCTAAATAAGGAACGAGGCCCCTTTTATCCATAAGTTAAGCTTGGATTTCCCATCGAAAACCTCAGGAAAACCCAAGCCAAACTGTAAAACAATCAAGGAACACCGAGCCCCTCCCCAACGAGAAGGGTTCCTTCTTCAGGACCCCGACTGTACAGGTCCAGGGCCGCGCGTCCAGGGAGGAGGAGCAACAATGTGGGGACGGCTTTTGATTTCGGCAGTCCTGGCGGGTCGAAGAACACGTGATGGACACGTTTCTGCTTCTTTGGGCCTTGGGAGGCCTCCCAGAGGCACCGCCGTATCAGGGCCTTCGTGCCGCCCCCCTTGAGAAGGAGTTTGAGGAATAATGCTTGTGGACAGAGGGAGAGAGAGAGAGAGAGAGAGAGAAAACAAACAGAGAGAGAGAGAGACATGACACAAAACAAACGGATGAGTAATGGGACGGAGGAAGAGGAGGATGATGATGATGACGAGGAGGAGGAGGAGGAGGAAGAGGAGGAAGAGGAGGAGACGGGGGAGTTTGATCGAACTCAGAGAAATTGTATGCGCGGGCGTTGATATGCCTGCTGGAGACCGCGGAGACTCCAGGGGAACTCCAGCCAATGTTTCTCCTTCCTCTTTCCTATTCCTCCTGCCCTTTCGCTCTCCTCAATCTTGCTTGTCCGCCCCCTCCTCCTACTCCTCCTGCTTCTCCTCCTCCTCCGCCTCCTCATCGCTCTTCATCCCTCCTGACTCCTGCTCCTCAGCCTCATGCCCCCCCTACTACTGATCTTCCCTGATCCTCACGCTTGCCGCGCCCTCCGCACTCTCACCCCTCCTCATCCACCCCTCCCATTCACCCCTCTTCCCTCTGTTTACTTTCTCCCTCGTCCTCCTTTTTTTCTCTGCTCGAATACCACCACGTTCTTCCTTCCTTCTGTCGTCCCTCTCTCATTCTCCTCCCCCTCCTGCCCAAACCTCTCCCTCCCTCTCCCACCTTCTCTACGTCGCGTCCTCCCACTCTGGCCCCTTTCCTCCTCCTTTCCGTCACCTCCCCCCACGGGGGGAGGGAAGAAGGAGGAACACGAGGAGGATTGAACATTGCGGATCATCCTCCCATGGCACGAGCCAGAGAGAGAGAGAGAGAAAGTGTGAGAGAGAGAGAAAACGAGAGAGAGAGAGAGAGAAACACATGGATACAGAGAGAGGCATGATCTCTATGTATATCCACATCTACGTACATAGGAAGAGAGAGAGAGAGAGAGAGAAACTGAGATAGCACGAGGGATATATATATATACATAGCGAAGGAGGGAAACATAATCTCTATGTGCATACACATCTATATAAGGACAGAGAGAGACAAAGAGAGAGGGATAACAACACAGTATATATACATATATATACAGAGAGAGAGATAAGTATATATATATAGAGAGAGAGAGAGAGAGAGAGAGAGAGATAGAGAAGAGGGACATAGAGAAAGAGGCAATCCGAGAGATAGAGGGAGAGAGAGAGAGAGAGAGAGAGAAGAGATATATAGATAGACAGAAAGAGGGATAACGGTGTGTATACATATATATATATATATACATCGAAAAATAATGACGGATGGACGGATGGATGGGTGGAGGGAGGGAGGGAGGGGAGGATAATGTGGTGGACTGATGAGGAGGATAAGGAGTATCAGGGAGATGGTTGGGAGGAGGATCGTGCCTTCTTCTGCTTCTAGATTCGTGCGCAGCATCCTTGCGCAGGGGCCATGTTAATCTTCCTAGTGCCGTTCCATGTCTGTTGGGTGATCCCAGAAGAGAATCCTAAACTAAAGGAGGTGGACAAGGACTGCGTTGGCCAATTTTCGAGGTGGGGGCTGTGCTTTCTCAGAAGAAAAGGGCTTCTGCGGCTTTCGGGGATATCCGGAGGGTTGCCTTCCTCGTCGACGCCACGGAACTGTCGATGATGGAAGCGGTGGTGGTGCCCCCCCCCCCCTTCTCCCCAACCCTTCCCTATCTCTCGTATCCATGCTTCCCTCCCTTCCTTTGTGGAAATCGCCCCGACACCAAACGTCAGAGGTATCCTGGAGCGCGTCCAGACCGAGGTTCTGGAGCTTGTCTGGCCATGGCGACGGGTGTCCCTCGGGAGGCCCCCTCCCTCCCAAAACGAAGAAACATCGACATCCTGGAAGGCGAATCCCCTCCCCCCTCCTGGGGAAAGTCTCCAGAAAGCATCCGCAGGTCTGGAGGTCCAAAGGGGGGGGGGCGGGGGGGCAAACGCCGCGACGCCGCCGAACTCTCGGTGCTAGGATCGGATCGCCGACGAGGCCAGGGCAAGGGAAAAAAGGAAGAGCGCGGCGAGAGAGAAAGAGAGAGAGAGAGAGGGAGAGAGAGAGAGAGAGAGGAGAGAGAGAGAGAGAGAAACAGAGAGAGAGAGAGAGAGAAAGAGCGAGAGAGGGAGAGAGAGAGAGAGAGAGAGAGAGAGAGAGAGCGAGAGAGATACATCTATATATATATACACATATCTATATATATAGAGAGAGAGGGGGAACGACGGGGGGAACTGGCTCAGGGGGGAAACGTCGACCTGTAATCGGCGATGCATCGCCGATGGATCGGCGATATGCCACCGACAAAGAAACCGCGCGTTCCTGGGCGTGGTGGGATATCGGGCTCCTATCGTCGATGAGAGGGCGACTGGGGGGCGAAGCATCTCCCCCTTCAGCCGGTCCACTCCTCGAGCGCCAGCGGGCGCGCCGGGAGGGGGGGGGGGGAGGAGGAAAGAGGAGGATGAGGAGGAGGAGGAGAGGGGAGGAGGGGGAGGAGAGGAGGAGGGGAGGAGGAGGAGGAGGAGGAGGAGGAGGGGGGAGGAAAAAGGAGGGAGGAGGAGGAGGAAGAGGAGGAAGAGGAAGAGGAGGAGGATGATGATGAGGAGGAGGCGGAGAAGGCGGAGGAGGCGGAGGAGGAGGAGGAGGAGGGGGGAGTGATGAAGAGGAAGAGGGAGGGAGGAGGGAGCAGGGAGGAGAGAGGAGGGAGGAAGGAGGGAGGGAGGATGGAGGATGGAGGATGGAGGGGGGAGGAGGGGGGAGAGAGGAGGGAGGAGGGAGGAGGAGGGGAGGAGGAGGAAGAGGAGGAAGAGGAGGATGAGGAGGAGGAGGAGGAGGGAGAGAGAGAGAGATGAACATGGCGGGCACGCCAGCTCCAGAGCTGCGCGGTGTGAACCACATCCAACCACCTCTCCAGATAGTTCGACCGACTCGCGCTCACCGAGCGTGACGCAGCAGGAAGCCGCGCCCATAGCGCCGAGGCGCCATGCCCAGGTCAGGCCACAACTATCCAGACAAACGAGAAACGGCATAATGTAAACTTCCGGAGATCCGCGCGGGCCTCCAAAAGTGTCAGTCTCTTCGCAAGTTGTTTGGTTTTCGGCTCCCCGCCACTCGCTCCTGCGCTCCCGACGTCGTGATTCTCCCGCAAGGTGGAGCCCTCGAGGTCTCGACCCCTCCCTGGGGACCAACTCTTCATCCTGCTGGTCGTCTTGTGAACGCGCCCAAGGGCCCGGTGGAAAGGCCCTTTTGGAGGCAGAAGCTGGCCAGACGCCTCCCGTTGTGACTTTGTCGCGGCTCGAGGGTGTCTGGGTGCCTCCCCCCTCCTCCTCCTCCTCCTCCTCCTCCTCCTCCTCCTCCTCCTCCTCCTTATACTCCTTTTGCTCCTCCTCCTCCTCCTCCTCCTCATCCTCTCCCTCCTCCTCCTCCTCTCTCCTCCTCTCCCTCCGCTCCTCCCCCCCCCTCTCCTCCTCTTCTTCCTCCTCCTCCTCCTCCCCCTCGTCCCCCTCCTCCTCCTCCTCATCCTCTTCCTCCTCCTCCTCCTCCTCCTCCTCCCTCCCTCGCCCACCGGGCCCAGCCTTCACGGTCGTGCGCTGGTCGTCGCCGGCGGGCAGTCCGGCCTGCGGTCTCGTCGGTCAGACGTGGGGACAGGGTGGTCGCCTCCTCCTGCTCCTCCCACCCCTCCTCCTCCTCTTCCTCCTCCTCCTCCTCCTCCTCCTCTTCCTCGCTCCTCCTCTCTCTCTCTCTGGCTCGTGCTGTAGGAATATGGTCAACAATGCCCAATCCCTCTCGTCCTCCTCTTCCTTCGTTCCTCTCCCCTTTGAGGGCTGGTGACGGGAAGGAGGAAGAGGGCCAGATGGAAGGGGAGGACGCAACGTAGAGAAGGCAGGCGGGGGGAAGGGAGGGACATGCCCAGGGAGGGGGGAAGAGGATAATGAGGGAGGGGCGACAGAAGAGAGGAAGAAATGAATGGTGTTCGAAAATGGAAAAGGGAGGGCGAGGGAGAAAGGAATAGGAGGGAAGACGGGTGAGTGGGAGGGGTGGAGGAGGAGGGGTGCGAGTGAGGAGGGGCGGCAAACGTGAGGAGCAGGGAAGATCAGTAGTAGGGGGGGCACGAGGCTGATGAGCAGAAGTGAGGAGGGATGAAGAAGGAGGAGGAGGAGGAAGAGGAGGAGGAGGGGGGGAGGACCAGGAGGAGGAGGAGGAGGAGGAGGAGGTGCTTCTAGGAAGCTTTCCCTCCTCCCCCTGCCCCCCCTCTGCGCATGGCCGAACAACGCACTCGTCCGTTGGCCTGCGGCGGCGGGGGCGGTCGCGCCGCGGTCGAAGCGGAGCGGCGGCCGAAATCGGCTTCCGAAAACGCGCGGCTCCCTCGGAACCTCCCTCCGCCCATGCAGCTTCGCACGTACCCCGGAAGATGCGCCCGGCGCTGGAGCGGCAACACACGATTCCTAAGGGACTGCCCTGCATCTGTAGAGGTCGGCGACTCAAAGCTTTGCGCTCGCGTCTTGCGAGGATCTCCTGAGCGAGAACAGGAGGTTGAGCTTCAAAGCAGTATGGTAAGACAGTTTGAAGCGGTCTCAATCGACAACGCAGCTCTGCAAAGAGCGGGCCTCAATCCCTGCAGCTGCCAGAGAAACATGGTTCTGGACAGCCCGTGGAGAAGGAACATATCGGCCTCAAGCTGGGCTCGATCTCTAAACCGACCTTGTGCTGCCCCCAGGCACCCTCGAGCTGTGAAGCATACAGTATGACGTACATACAACACGAGAGCGCGATTGAGCGTCCGAAGTGCTGCAATTGGCGACCGCTGCTTCTCATAGAAAGTCTCTGCATAAGCTGCGCGAGGCGTCGATGACGATGGTCATTGAAATGTTGACCGAACTCGGAAGACTCCGAAATCCGACACCGTGACAACAAACGGCACCGCCGTGAACAAAAATGACGACGCCCTTGCGGCAGCATGCCCTATACAACTTTACACAACTCACGATTCACGATGGGGGGAAGACTTCGGGAACCAGGGCTCCTCCTCGGGCGTTACACATTGTATCAAGCCCTTGCAAACAAACTGCTAAAGGAATCGCGACCGACCCCACCTGGATGCCACATTCCTTCAGCTGGGTCGATCCGCGATGGTCCCGGCTTCGATGCAATCACACAGCCTCCTCACCTCCAGGAGGAGGAGGGAGGGGGAGGAGGGAGGAAAGGGGATCAAGAGGAGGAGGAGGAGGAGGAGGAGGAGGAGGAGGAGGAGGAGGAGGAGGAGGAGGAGGAGGAAGAGGATGAGGAGGAGAAGGAGGAGGAGGAGAAGCAGGAGAGAGGGGAGGACGAGGAGGGAGGAGGAGGAGGGAGGATACTGGAGGAAGAGGGAGGGTGAGGGAGGGATAAGTGGGGGTGGGGGATGAGAGAGGAGCCAGAGGAAGAGGAAGAGGAGAACAAAGTGGCGAAGAAACGTGCACCCTCCGCGCACCTTTGGGGGCCCCAGGCGGTTCCTGTGGGGGGGGGGGGGCGCCCGGAAGTGCACGAACGGCGTGCTTTCCTTCGCCCCTCCCAACACGCAACGCCCGAGGCGCGGGTCCGCCCCGTGCGTGCGACGTGCGCCCAGGGGGCCGGCCTGGCCTCCTGCGGCCCGAGAGGGCCGCGTGCCCTTGGGGCCCGAGGCTCTCCGGGAGGCGCGCGGCTCTCTCAGGTGCCTCGGAGCCGAGCTCGACCCCCGAGGCGCACTCACCCGATGGCCTGCGGCGGCGGGGGCGGCCGCGCCGCGGTCGGAGCGGAGCGGCGGCCGCACTCGGCTTCCGAAAGCGCGCGGCTGCCTCAAGGCCTCCTCCGTGTCCCCAGCGGGGGGGACACGAGGTGCCGATAGCGCTTCTCCCTGGCCCTCTCCAAAGGTGGCTCCGCGAGGCGAGTCCAGCCGCGGCGACGGGGTTCACCCAAGAAGCCCAGGAGGACGGAGACCAGGGAGGGGTAGCCAAGGGCGGACTCGGTACCCGTCCCTCCGATGGCCCTCGCCTCCCCTGACCTCCTGGTCTCGCCGTCGCTCGTTGGGGGTCCCAGAACCGCGTGGTGACAGACCGTGCGGTGACGTCGAGCTCCCGAAGGACCTCACCGCAAGGCTCGGGGACCTTGAGAACCCCGGCCGCCCGAGACATCCTCGGATCGCGGCCCGAGTCCCGAAACCGTGCGGTGGCCCCGATCCCCCCACGGACTCACCACACGGTGTGGCCACCACACCGATTAGGGGGCCCTCGACGTCGGATGGTGTTCGGGGTCATAACTCGAGCATCAGGCGGCCCTTCGGGATGAACCCCAGCGCCCCCAGGAAAGCTCTCGGCGAGGCGCAGCTGCTGGACAGCACCCCAAGGAGGGAACACAGCCAAGAGCCAACGAGAAAGCGCCCGAAAGCTGCGAACCTCGACCCTCCGAGACCCTCCCCTCCCTTCATCCAGGGGGGAAAACCTCGACCTGGACTCGGCGACACGTCGCCGATAGATCTCGGCGAGAGGCCTCCTATAACTGACGGGGAACTGGGACACCCAAATAAATAGACACAAATAATCCGATCCCCAATATTTTCTCATATTTTTTCTGGATGTTTGGCTTCCCCCCCACTTCCCATATTTTCTTATATTCCTGGGGATCGACGATGAATTGTGTCTGTGTGTTTTTTTCCTCCTGAAAAACGCCACTCCCCACGGTCCTGGGCGGGGCGGCCTGCTCGCCGTCGCTCGGACATCCCTTCCCGGTGCATTTTTCGATTTCGTGCGTGGAATTTTCTGTAAGGTGACCCACAATGCTCCTCGATGGTCCTCGCCCCCCAAAAATGCACAGGTCCGAGCGATGCCAAGCCCCCTGAGCCTATGACCCCCCCCATCGTTGCCCCTCCCCTCGCCTCCCGGCCCTCGCCGTCGCTCCTCCCTGGGGAGCGGCCAGGAGGGGGGTGTCTGCAAGAGGGGGGGGGTGCAAATCATGACCGGCGGCACGTGCGCGGCCCAGCGGGGGGGCCAGGGACGTAGTGAAACAAGAAGAGGCGCCAGGAAATCTGGGGAAATATCATGGCCCCCGCCATGATATCCACCCCCCCTGGTCATCACCCCCCTCTTTGCCGCCCCCGACTCCCTCGCCTCCCCCCCCTCCGCCGTGGCCCCCCGTGCCGGGGAGACGTGCGATTCGGGTTCGGGGGACTCGGGCTGGCCTGAACATTGACGCGAGCTCCCGCTACAAACATCCAACGACAACTGCACCCTCAGACTCCAGGACGCGCTCGTCAAAAAGCGTCGGCAAACCCGAGTTCTGGCGTCCTCGAGTCTTACGTATCCCCGGCCGTGGCCTCCAGGGGACAGGGGACCAGCAACCAGCAGCGTCCCTCCCCGGTCAGAAAAAAGAGGAAGGCGTTGGAAATTATGTTGGGCTTCCACCCGCCCATCAAGATGAGGGAAAAGGGAAAACCGATCGACTCAAGAGGTAGGAAGGCGGCCATAGAGTATGTGGGGATCTGGGAATCCCGAACTACATACTTTGACGACCAACGGGTACGGAAAAGCCCTTACGGACCCAGAACCCCGATGTCTTTTTTTTGTTCTCTCACAACGTCGACCCCAAGAGGTCTGGACCCCTTCCCCAGGAACGGTTTTTCATCCTGAGTCGTTTCTTTACCATCCCGAGGGCCGGTGAGGGCCCCTGGAGGCTGAAAATAAAGGGAAGCCTCCCGCCGCGACTTTTTCTCAACGCCAGGGCATCTGGGGAGCGAGCCTCGGCCATGCTTGAGAGCAGCTCCGCGGGCTTCTCCTCGAAGCGGAGCGTGATGCGCACGACCAGGGCCTCTGCGAGCGGGGGTGGCCATGCGGCGCGCGACGCCGGCGGGGCGCGCAGGGGCCAGGGCGGGGCCTCCGCCCTCCCCCTCCTCGCGGCGCCTCCCTCGCTGCCGCCGCCTTCCCCCCCCGCTGCACCTCTCCCCCCTCCCTCCGCTCCCCTCCGCTCCCCTCCGCTCGCCTCCGCTCGCCCGCGCTCCTCTCCCTCCCCCTCTCCTCTCGGGAAGCTCGGGAGCGACGGGATCCAGCATGCCGTCACAGACACCCCTCCTCCTCCTCCTCTTCCTCCTCCTCCTCCTCCTCCTCCTCTTCCTCCCTCTTCCTCCTCCTCCGCCTCCTCCTCCTTCTCCTCCTCCTCCTGGTTCCTGGTAGCTACAGAGTTCGTCGAACGCACCCTTCTCCTCCTCCTCTTTCTCCTCCTCCATCCCCTCTTCCTGCTCTCGCTCCCTCCGTCACTCGTTCTTCCACCACACTCCTTCCAGCCCTCCTCCCCTCCCAGCTCCATTCCATTGTTCCTCCTTCCTGTTGTCCCCTCCCTTCCTCCTTCCCCTTCCCTCGTCACCTACCTCCTCTGAAGACTTTCAGACTCCTTCTAGAACATAGCCCCGAACATCATAACACAATTACTACCCGCCGAAATCTTCCTCCCCTCCCTCCCTCCCTCCGTTGTGTTTCCCGATGTTGGCGGGGACATCGACGGCCCGCCCTCGCGAGCGGAGCCAGATGTGACAGACAGTCCTGGGAACGCCTTCGGTCACTCCTTCTCCTTCTCCTTCTCCTCCTCCTCCTCCATCTACTCCTCCTCCATCTCCATCTTTCTCCTCCTCCTTCCGCGACCCTCTTTAGCTTCTCCTCCTCCTCCTTCTCCTCCTTCCACCTTGCTCTTCCTCCCGCCACCCACCTCTTTCCGCCCCATCCCTCCTCCCATCCTTGCTCGTCTCCCAAGCCACCTCCATCTCCACCACCTCCTCTTCCCCTCCTCCGCGACTCTCTGCAACCACGTGCAGCGAGAAGCGGTGAGGACAGGAGGAGAGGAGAACAAGACAGGACAGGGCCTGCGTCATGCACCGCGCGGGTGCTGCAGGGTGGGGCGGAAGCACCCATAACCTCAGTAAGCAATTAAGAACCCCCCCGGGGTTATCGTTAGCACCGCACCGTAATTCAATAATTCTTGGGGTCGGTTTTCGCGGAACGATATCTTTAGCACCGCGCGAAAGAAAGGATAATCAATAATTCCCGCGCCTTGGCACGGGGCCCTCCCGCACAGGACTCCCTGATAGGACCTCCCCCCAGGACTCCCCCATAGGAATCCCCCGTAGGTCTCCCCCATAGGACTCCCCCAATAGGACTCCCCCATAGGACTCCCCCATAGGACTCCCCCACAGCAGACTCGTCTGCGTTCAAAGCAGGTTGCGAGGTGCCAGGGTAACGCTTCCATGGTTCTGGAGCGTTCTACTTTCGCCGGAGAGGGGGGGGGTTCTTCATTGCCTCCCAGGGTTAATCCCGGACAGGTGAAACACTGCACGGAGAGACATGAGTTGGAGGGGTGGGAGGGCGGGAGGGGGAGTGCGGATAGAGGACGAGGGAGGAGAGGGGATCGAGGAGGGGGGATGGAGGAGGCAGGAGGGACTCTGGGATGAGGGAGGCGGAAGGGACGATGGACGCGGGAGGGAGAGGCGAAGGTGGCAACGACATTCGGAACCCACCGGATCGGCGGCACTGGCCGGAGGCCATTGCAATAACAAGTTTGCTTGACTGGAGGGGGGGAAAGGATGCGTGCCGAGGCCCGAAGGGAAGTCTGGAGCTCACGCAAATCGGGGCCCACTTGCATGCCCTTTCGGCGCAGCACTGCCTGAGGCGGCGGAGGCGGAGGCTGCCTGAGACTCACATAAGAATGACGCCCTCAAATCTGGCGGTTCTGGAAGATGCATCGAGCGCCGCGGCCGTTCCAGAGCGCTCTATCGCGTCCCCCAAACACTCGGTGTCTTGGCTTCAATGCGGGGTCCCTGGCGTCGCATCCCGAGTCGTTTTTGACGGTCCCGCGGCCCAGCTAGGGCCCCCGGAGGCCGAAAACGGCCAAACACTTCCCGTCGTGGTGTTTTCACGACGCGAGCATGGGAGGACGAAGGAACGACCTCAACGTAAACTTTTGGAGCTCTGCACGGACTTCTTGGATCTGTGCTGGGCTCCCCCGAGGATGTCTGAGGCACCGCCCCTGGCACGCTCCGCGCGCCAGGGAGGGGGGCTCATCGCCGATCCCAGAAGTCCGCGCGGAGCTCCAAAAGCCCTACCAGCCCCCTGGGCGTAGGTGGTGTAGGGCTGTTTTTCTTCCAACCCCCTTCTTCCCATTCGGGGAGGGGCTTACCCCCTCCCCCCCTGGACTTGGACGGGGGTGGCCGCGGGTAGGTGGAATGCACCCCCACCTCCATGATCACCTCAACTCCCCTGGGCCTCGTCTCTGGATTCGGCTTGTGGGGACTTGGCGGCGAGCGCGGGGGGGAAGTGAAAAGGGGCAGGCCTTCTCAGAAGGCTCGGAAGCCCCCCAACCTTCCGAGAAGTTTCCTAAGCCTTCCCCGAGGGCGCAGAAAAACTTCGGAAAAGGCGCGAGGGCTTCTGAGACGTCCCGCCGCCTTCTGAGAAGGCCTTCTCCTTCTCACTTCCCCACCTCGCTCGCCGCCGATCAACTCCCCTGGGCCTCGTTTCTGGATTCGGCTTGTGGGGGTACTCTCTGCTCGCGGGCGTCGCGGAGCCCACCGCGCGCCGCCAGGAACGCCGTGTGCGAGAACACAGGCCGGCCGGCACGGGCGGCGCGCGGGAAGAGGGGGCCGCAGCGGCGGCGAGAACGACGCAACGGGGATACTTTTGAGTCCGCGGCCTCCTCCTCCTCCTCCTCCTCCTCCTCGTCCTCCTCCTCCTCCTCCTCCTCCTCCTCCTCCTCCTCCTCCTCCTCTTCGGGCGAGCGCGCCAGCGGCGAGTCAGGTCAAAGCGGGCTACGCAGAGACTAGTTAGGTAGAGGCGACGCGCAAGGCAACAGCTGCGCGGCAAGCCGAGGCCTCACGCGGCGGCCCGGCGGCAGGTGGGTGGCAGGGGGAACTGAGCACGCGAAGCGTCAACCGTTTACATCTCTGGGCCTGGCACGCTCTGGGAAGAAGTTCTTCCCGGTCCTGGCCCCCCTGGATCTGCCCCGGCCGGCCGCCCTCCTGGCGGCGCGCACAAGGGGGTGGTGGAGGGGGGGGGAGGCTTCCTAGAAGGAGGCTGCTTCTTGGAAGGCGTCGGCCTCGCATTCACGTCGCAGGCCCGCGCCTCCTCAGAAGCAGAGGTGCTTCCGAGAAGCCTTCCCCCCTCCCCCTTCCCCCTCTGCGCGTGGCCGACCCCCCCCCCCCAGGCGCCCCACGCCCAAGCTGGCCTGGGAGTACTCGCAGCCGCCGTCCCTGGAGTCCTCCCGGGCTTCGGCCACGCACTCCGCCAACACGCGCTTCCTCGCTCCGCCGGGGCGGGCCGCCGCCGCCGCCGCCGCCGCCGCCCCCAGCCGCCTCCCGCGCCTGCTTCCCGCGGCCCCCCGTCCACCTTCGCCTCCGCACCCTCCTCTCCGGTGCTCCGTGTACGGGGGGGCAATACACGTGGGGTGAAGGAGCGAGCACCTCTTGTGCACCTTTTGGGCTCGCGGTGGCAATTCATGAGGAGCGCTGCAGGCACGGCTACTTTATCCTGCAGTCCTCGTCCCCCCGCGCTTATTTGCTCCCCCGTTGGGATGGGAGAGGGGGGCTGGGGCGAAGAGGATGGAAATGGAGGAAACGATGGAGGAAGGAAGCAATGGAGGAGCAATGGAGCAGGGAACGGGGAGCGGCGATGTGATACTTCAACGGCTTTGAACGTGGATCTTGCACATTGCTTTTGATATTTCAAAGCAAAGAAGCTTATGGCCAAGCCAGGCTACTTCCGTACCGGACTGGAACGGCTACAAACGGGAGGTGTGCCATGGCTCGATCTGACCATATTCATGCAGGGCGGCCTATTCGCAGGTACAACCGACAATCCCAGCTGTACTCTCAGATGATACTGAACGCAGCTAGCTGCACGTGATTCAATCTTTGGGCCACAACGCGCCTGATGCATTTTACATGTTAGTGTTCTGGCCGTGTAGGGTTCTGGAGGGAGGAGGAAAGGAAGAGGAGGACGAGGAGGACGAGGAGGAGGAGGAGGAGGAGGAGGAGGAGGAGGAGGAGGAGGAGGAGAAGGACCATTATGAACGAGGAATGAGGAGGAGGAGGAGGAAGAGGAGGAGGAGAAGGAGGAAGAGGAGCAGGAAGAGGAAGGAGTTGTTGCATTCCGCACGAGATCACCCAGAGGCGCCCCATGACGACCGAGTGAAGAAAGCAAATGAGGGAAGGCGGCGTACAGCAGTGCTGATGGTCCCAATCCACCCCGATCAGTCGCAGCCCAGTTCCCCATAAGCCACCTAACTTCGCGCACCTCGCTCAACGATGTGCGACGCGCGACCTCCTCCTCGTCCTCGGCCTCCTCGCCCTTCTCGCCCTCCTCGTCGTCGTCCTCCTCCTCCTTTTTCTCCTCCTTCTCCTCCTCCTCCTCCTCCTCCTCCTCCTCCTCCTCCTCCTCCTAGTCGCCCCCCCCAGGAGAAGGGCAACTCTCAGGCCCAGGCCGCGAAGCGCGATTCTTTCCTTGCGCCCCCCCCCCGCCCTCCCGAGGGAGGAGGTCGTCGTCGAGCGTCGGACGAAGCGTTTGACTTCTGTTGCCGCACGGCGGGAGGAGCAGGGCGAAACCTGAGAAGGCTCCGACTGGAGGACGCCTCAGAAGGGTGGGAGGCCCTTTCAAAAGGCGTGGAAACACCTCGAGCTGGTGCCTCGTGAAGGCGTGAGGGCCGCGGCGGCGAGAAGAGGGAGGGATGGAGGAGTGGGCGGGGCGGGGCGGGCAGCGAGGCGAGGGAGGCTGTCTTGATGGATTGCGCGTCGGCGAAACGCCAGTCCTGCTGTCAACTGGGATGAAGGATGGACCCCCGCACGCCCCTCTCCCGAGAATAGACCCGACTACGATCACTTCAGTCTGCTCAGGAACTAATTGGCACCAATTGCATAGAATAAGAAAAAACGGCGTAAACATGCACTGTCGAAAGTCCGCGCGGATTTCTTGGATCTGCGCTGGACTCCCCTCCCTGGCGCGCGCAGCAAGGCAAGGGCGGCGCCGGACGCGCCGCCAGGGGGGTCGCGACGCAGGTCCAAGAAATCCGCTAGGAGCTCCGAACATTTATTTTCACGCGTTGTTCCCTCTATCGTAAGTGTGGGGGTTCTTGTTATTCTTGTGATGCTCCACCTCGCTTCCTCCTCTCCTCCCTTTATTCAGTCTCGCTCGCGCTGAGACTCACTCACATTCGGACTCACTTATACTCAGACTCAACTCCCAGGCTCACTCTCAGATAGCCTGCTCATATGCACTCATACTCAGACTCACTCCTGACACTCAGACTCATACACATCCAAGGTCACTCGCACACAGACACGCCCAAACAGATCACTCGCACTCAGGCTCGCGTGGCATTGAACATGTGAAGATGTCTCGAGCGAGGCGCTGGCTTCAACATTCCAAGGGGAAGCTGTCAGGGGTAGGACATTTGCTCGTTCGCGCCCAAATTGTGGGGATGTCGCAGGCGGATTTCCTATTTGGTGTCTTGGACTTCGGTGCTTCAATACAGATGGTGAGGGTCTCTCGAGCGAAGCGCTGGTTTCTGCACCCCAAAGTGGAGCTGCCAGGGGGTAGGACATTTGTCCATTCGCGACCAGATTGATGTCTCAGGCGGTTTGCCTGTTTGATGGCTTGGACTTCGGAGCTTTCAGAACAGATGGTGAGGTTGTCTCGAGCGATGGGGCTGGCTTCAACACCCCAAGGGGGGAGCCGTCAGGGTAGAAACATTCGCTCGTTCGCGCGCAGATTGTGGGGATGTCTTAAGCGGTTTGCATGCTTGATAGCTTGGACGTCAGTGATTTCAGAACAGGTTGCCAGGATGCCTCGAGCAAGGCGCTGACTCTCATCGTAGCCACCGCCGTCGCCGTCGCCGTCGCCGCCGTCGCCACCGTCGCCGTCGTCATCGTCGTCATCGTCGTCGTCGTCGTCGTCAATGTCGTCGTTGTGCTTGTCGTCCACTCGGACTCGCTCTCACACCCAAGCACTCCCTCACAACGGGGACGTGCCAAGGAACGAGATGCACATTTGAGGATCCCCGCGCCGAACTACTTTCTGGTTCGATGGAAATATGGGCAGCTGTGTCTGCGCTCCGAGCTGTGCGAAGCGCGCATGACTTCGCGCTCTCGCGCCGAATCCCCCCCCTTGGCGGAGAAGGGGAGGACGAGGAATGGGGGCCTCGGAGAGGCGGAGACGGAGGAGGAGGCGGAGGAGGCGGAGGCGGAGGAGGCGGAGGAGGCGGAGGCGGAGGAGGCGGAGGAGGCGGAGGAGGCGGAGGAGGCGGAGGCGGAGGAGGCGGAGGAGGCGGAGGAGGCGGAGGAGGCGGAGGAGGAGGATGAGGAGGAGGGGGAGGAGGAGGAGGTGGACGAGGAGGGTGAGGACGAGGAGTCGCGCATCACGAATAGCTCCGCGCCCTCGTGGCGGCCCTTGCTGAAACCATCACCTCCCCCCTTCCAGCACGACTGCGTCGCAAGGGGAGGTCGGGCGGGTGGCAATGGATAAAGGGGCCCAAGGACACACACACACATAACTACACACACATCCTAGGATTCCCCCATGCTCTTCGCAAGTGTTCCAGGTCTTCGTGTTCCCCCCCCACTTCCCACATGCCCGCATCCTTCCCTGCGAAGACGACGACTCGTTGTGCCCGTGCGCTCCTCCCCCTCTCAGGGGGGGCACATGCGAACCCTACCCCTACCCCCCACGATTTCTGAGGGGGAGGGTGGGATTCACTCCATTCGGGAGCTCCCGAGCGAAGTGAACCCCACCCTTCCCCTCCGAAATCGTGGGGGGTAGGGGTAGGCTTCGCAAGTGGCCCCCTACCCTCCCAGCACGGGGGGGCGACTCCTCACGGTCTCCGCCGTCTCGGCCGCCGTCTCGGCGTCGCCGCCGCTCCGCAGCTCGTGCTTGCCGTGGGCCCAGAAGCACCTCGCGGCGCGGGCCCCCCGAGGGCCTGGCCGGCCTGCCCCGCCCCCCCCCCCCCCCCCCCGGCACCTCCGGGGGCGAGGGCGCGCCGGGAACGGACCGCACGACGCTCCCCCGCCCCGTGCTCCTCGAGGAGGAGGAGGAGGAGGAGGAGGAGGAGGAGGAGGAGGAGGAGGAGCAGGAGGGGGAGGACTGCTCCCGCGCAGCAGCACACGCTGAACACAGCTGCTCCTCTCTCCCCCGACGCTGCCTGGGAGCACCCTCGGCCCTCTCCGCACGCCGTTGTTGCACGCAGGATCCTAGCAATCCTCTGGGCGTGAGTGGTCTGGGGAGCTTCGTCTTTCATCTTCCCTCTTCCGCCTCGGGGAGGGGCTCGTCACTGCTCCTTATGAATAGGCATCGGCGACCTGCAGCCAACCAGGACCAATGCCCTCCCCCCCATCCCTGTCAAAAACAATGTGAACACACACTTTGGGGCCAACTCTTGGGTCATGCTCGTGGGCCCCGAGAGCACCTTGTATTGTTTTGTTGTTGACCGGGATGGCCGGAGTGCCCTCACATTGCCTGCTTTGCGCAAGACAATCACCGCCATCAAAAACAATACAACATGCACTTCGCGGCCAAATCTGGATCGTGCGCGGCCGCCCCGCGATCACTGTCCACTGGTGTTCGAGAAGGACCGCGGGGGTGCTGGCATATTGTGTGCTGTGTGCAGGCCCACAAAACACCATGATGGCCTCCCCGCCGCGTTCGTGCACGGTTTTCGACAAGGATGGTCGGGGCTGACATATTTCCCGATGTGTGCTGTCACGTGCGCGGGCGCACCTGGCACACTCTGCGCGTGCCCCGAACGTGGCGCACCTGGCGCGGTTGGACCATGCGGCACACATGGCGCACGTGGAGCATGTGGCGCATCTGGCGCGCGAGCGTGCCTGGCACGCTTGGGCCCCAGGGGTGCAAGGCGCACTTGGAGAGCCTGGCACGCGTGACGCACCTCGCCCCATCACGCCAAAGGGCGCTATTGATTCCCAAGAGCTGCCCATCCATGGACGACCGCTGAACATGCTGAGGCCTAGGTGCTACTCATGTGTTGGGAGGGCAGGTGGGAGTGAGCGAGACAGCTTGCGGGCGGGGAGGGTGTCTTGACCCGTTCCCCTTCCCCCATCCCCCTAGGTCTGGAGGGGGATTCTGCGAGCCGTTGGGGCCCCGAAGAGGCCGCCCAAAGACCCCCAGAGGCCTCCCCAAGGCACCCAAGACGCCACAACAGGCCTCGGCGAAAAGGCCACTATCATGGATTTTAGCACGGTTTTGGCTACATGTTGGCCTCCTGCGGGGGAGGGGGGACCAATTTACGAGCCCCCCATACTTTGATCGATCTCCTGTAATATGGTCCCAAGATGGCCCCAAGGCTCCCAAGGGTCCCCCCAAAAACGGCTCCAAGACGTGCCCAAGAGGCCCCAAGAGGCTTCAAGAGGCCCCCTAGAGGCTCCCAAGAGACCCCCAAGAGGCCCCCCAGAGGCACCAATGACGCCCTCAGGGTCCTCGGCGAGGGGTCAACATCATGGATTTCATTAAGGTGTTGGTCAGATTTTGGCTTCCTGTGGGGTGGGGTGGGGGTGGGAAGAAGGTCGAACCCAACCGCATCGGGCCGTTCACGGACCACGTGGTGCTGATTGGAACCGCTGGAAGCGGACGGATGTTGGCGTGCAAGATTCTTTCAATAACCCTACATGGCGAGCGCCGGATTATAGCCAGGAGAGCTTCCTTAAACTTCTCAACGCTTGCAGGACACCTGAGGGTTCCGAAGGGACGATTCGTAATTCCTCAAGGATTATAAAAGGGATTTCTGGGGGTCCCTCCAGGGTTCCAGAAGATTCGTAAATCTTCCTGGGATTCCTTGGGGTTCCTGAAGGACTCTTGATGGATTCTTGATGGGTCCCTGCGTTTTTTGAAATATTCCTATGGCCTGAAGGATTCCTGACAGGATTCCGGATGTATTCCTGAAGGTTATTGGAGGATTCTTAAAACCTGAAGGATCCCACAGGGATCCCCAAGGATTTTTCCATGATTCCTGAACTATCTGGAACCATCCTGAGGAAAGCTCAACGTTCCTGAAGATTCTGGAGGGATTCCGAAGGACTCCCCAATGGCCCTGACATTTCTAGAGGGGCTCCTGCGGATTGCTAACGGGTTCCTGAAGATATCCTTTCTGGATTCCGTACTGAGTCCTGAGGGATTCTTGGGCAACGGTGATATCGTATACCTGCCTCGCAGGCCACCAGTCGATTGCCTGAAGTCGCCGCGGGTGCACGAGGTTGGCTTTTTGGTTGTGCAGTCGCCAGGGCAGGCTGGCCCATTCATGCCCGCTGCATCGGTGGCCACAAGTGGGTTTGAAACTACCCCAGGGATTTCAGTTCATGGTCGTTTTGCCATTAGGCTCGAACTGATGCCCACGTGCCACTTAAAGAAAATTATGTCCGTGAGCGCTGAGTTCAACGGTGGGCGAGGTCCGTTTTGTGAGTTTGTATAAAACATTGCCAGGGTCACTACAGGCTGCAAGTGAAAGGGAGGGCGCGCCGCTGGATCTCCCAAAGGGGGGGTGGGACCCCCTCCTTTCTCCGATCCGTCGTCGTCGGGGACCCCCCCCCCATTTCCCAATCCGTCGTCGGGGAGACCCCTCCCCCTCCCCCCTTTTCCAAGTCCGTCGTCGGGGACCCCCCCCCCTTTCAAAAGGGGCCCGCGAGAGGGAACGCGAACCACCAGTTCGAGCCTTCCTCCCCAAGAGGCCCCGGGGAAGCCCGAAGAGGCCCCCGAGAGAGCCCAGGAGGCACCCTGGAGGCCTCGTGAAGCCCCCACGAGGCTCAACAAGAGGCACAAGAGGCCCCCGCACGGCCCCCGAAAAACGCCCCAAGGAGGCCACGAACGCGCAACCAAAGTACTGCGGTGGCACAGAACAGGCCCGCGGAATGAGCGAAGCGATTCAATATTATTATTATTATTAGTAGTAGTAGTAGTAGTAGTAGCAGTAGTAGTAGTAGTAGTAGTAGTAGTAGTAGTAGTAGTAGTAGTAGTAGTAGTAGTAGTAGTAGTACTAGTAGTAGTACTAGTAGC